CTGGATTGGATCTGCCAGCTTCCATTAAAGATGGCAGAGTGGATGGGATAGAAGACAGGGAGCACAAGGTAAAACCCAGCTTCCCAGGACCACATCATCATCACTGCTGACAACTGCAGAAAACAAGCTCTCTCTCAGCTGAACTCCATGATCACCAAGGACAAAACTGCATATTTCTGTGTGAGAGACATAGTGAATGGAATCAGTGGGAGCCCAGACAGAAACCTCCCTGTGGGAGTCAGGACAGCTGAGCTGTAGGGAGCCCTCTGGACAGCCGGGGTTACTTTGGACCCAGTGTTCAGTGCAGTCAACCCAGGAGCAGGAACAAGTGGAGGTTTTCCTTGGGATCTTGCAGCAATCTGAGGGTTCCACTTCATCTGATGTCTGCTCCAGCATCTTCTTCAGAGTCAGGATGATGACACCAACAGGACAGAAAGCACAGCAACTAATGGCAGCTCCCAAGGATCCCCTTTTGTCAAGTAGCAGAGCTATGTTCAATCCTAATGGACAAGAAAGGTTGGATGACAATGGTCGACATTGTCACAGTACCCTGACACAACACTGATTCTGAGGTCCCTGGGAGAACCTGCAGCAACATACACCCAATGTAGCTTCAGATATTGACTCTCATGATGCCCACACACTATCAAACCAGATGGCACTCCCTTTTGATATGATAAAGACCTCAGGGGGACCAGGATGACCTCTTCATCAGAGGTGAAGTTGCTTCTGAGAGGTGGTCTAGGAGCCTGTATCAGGGTATTTGTGGCAGCAGGTGAGTGTTCTCATATTGACAGAGACTTGCGTGGACTAACTGTCCAAAAGAAGGCAAAAGAGTGATCACCAGACTTTCTTATCAGTGTGTCCACATGAGGACAGAGGACAATGCATGAAATATGGCTTGAAACCTCAGACCTATGTTCAAAACCTATGTTCAGATACTTGAGTCCACCTAACTATTGCAGGAAGAAGGGATAGGGATTTATTCATGCACTGGGGTGTGCAGTAATCTGAGTTGATGAGCAAGCAGATAGAAACAGAGCAGAGATTATATAGTGGTTTTAGTAGGACAACATGAGTGGCAGTTTCCACTGTCTGAAATTTTCCTCATTCTAACAGAGATGGTGAGTCAGCAGGCTCTATCAAGGACTGCAGCTTCTAGAGTACCTGAGAGAACTGAGTTACTCATCCTGCACTTGGAGATGGCTTAAGTGGTGTAGAGTTCACATTTTCTGGCTGAGCTGCTGGTGTGAACACAGAGACTGCTCTGGAGTCCTACTGGGGCCTTAATAGTAAAAAAAAAAAAAAAAAAAAAAAAAAACACAAGCTATGTTCTTATTTATGAAGTTCATCAGCCATTTTCCCCAAAATTCTCATTCTGAAGATAAAACTCCTAGGGTTACATCATGTAGATGCTATTGAGGATTATGTGAGGGAAGGTCACCTGAGTTTGTTGAGAGGGTGGGATACATAGGTCTCATGATGGTTAATGTATGGGTTCACAAGACTGGCAGTGTATGTCACAATATTTATTCAAACATCATCTAAGGTTCCCATGGTAGTGTTTAAATCAGGGGAAAGGGTGAGGCAGATTGCCCTTCCTAATGTGGGAAGGTGAGGCGCTGCCAGACCATTGATGGTCTGCAAAAATGGAGCCATTGGTGGACTATTGTGATATCCATGCTTGATGACCTTAGAACTGGAGCACCCACATGAGCTTTGGTCCTTCATCCAGCACCCAGGACACACAGGTTCTTACTGCAGCTCAGACCTGAGTTCTTGGACTGGAGCTAAACTGTAGACTCCTCTGTGACCTTCACATCAACTTAACTCCTCATATCCCCCTGAATCTTCTTTAAGTCGCATGCTCTTATTCCCACAGTCCACAGTGTAGAGGCAGGATGTGTGTTCCTGTCCAAGGAACACCAGGCTGTATCAGGTGAGATCAGGAGTTGGACCCAGTCTCTGTCAGATCCAGGGCCCTATCAGCCCTGGTGCCATCACACAAATCATGTCTCCTCCTTCCACTTCCTCCTCATCTTCTTGTTTAAAGATAGGATGGCAGACCTTAACAGTGGACCAATGTCAAATTGAAAATTATTATTCTTTCTCCTAACTCTCCATGGATGCTGGTCCAGTGGTCCTAGAGTCTATTTCATGTGATCACATGGTGTTTCCTTTCACCTGAGCTTGTGGCCTGCCTTCCCTTAGCCATGCCCCCTCTTTCCTGTTCAGGAAAATAGGAAAAAAAATTCTTATAAGCAATTGCATTATTTTGAAAATCAGGAGACAGAACAAGACACTCGTAAGATGGATGTGCTCTGTCCTCACCAAAATGTTTTATTCACCTTTAAAAAGAAGACAAAGTGGACAGGTGCAAGACAAGGATGAACTATGAGACAAATTTCCCAAAGATATACACCATGCTCAGAACCACAAGAGATGTGTGCATGCAAGTGTGTGAGAGATGGAGGGCGAAGGGCATGGAGACAGAGCCAGTAGTGGTGCCTGAGGTGGGGGGGGGCAGGAAGGAGGTGTTGTTAATTAATGGGCACTGAGTCAGTTTGGGAGAATGAGAATCTTTGGATGTGAGTAGTGACGCTGTTTTCACAACAGTGAGAATGTATGAAGGTTGCTGCGGTCATTTAAAATTGATCAGCCTGGTGAGTGTTCGTTAATGTATGTTTTACCACAAGCATCACACCAGCAGTGATGAGAGATGTGCATGTGTTTTCCAGGAGAGATGGTGCCTCCTGAACCTACAGGATTGGAATGGAGTCAGGATTGCAGAGTCTGGCTGGTATGAAAGGTCATTCTGGTAAGCTTCCTTTGGGGGAGCAAGAGTCTCTAAAGTGGTGTGACTGCCCCATGTATGTTTCTAAGGAAATAGAATCTGGGAAGATAATCAGCCTTGATCAGGATTCTAGGCCATAGAGTATCTAGGCTGAGAGCAGTGTGTGAGGTGGATGTGTGGGGACAACACAGTGGGTTAGTCATATCTTAGAGAGTGTGCAAGGCATTACAAGGACCCAGTGTATCTTCAAGGAAGAGACGATGTGAATGGCATGTCATTAGAGCCCAACATTGTCTGACAGTGTTATCAGGATGACAGGTGAGCACATATGACTTTCCATGACACTTGCCAGACAAAGCCTTCTTCACCAGATTGGATACACTCTTCTAAGGAGACACTTTGTCCCCATGAATTTTCACTTTCCAGCATACATGAAGCAGCTATCCAACACTCTTCTCTCACCAGGCATGGAAATGAGAAAAATGACAAGATTTTCAGCAGTTCCACTTATCCCAATCTCCTAGTCTGTAAGTCTCCATGAAATCTGAGACTCAGAAAAATTAGACACAGGTATTCAGTTGAGATGTGTCTGTGGTCTGGTCAGTGTTGCAGGGACAGGCAATGGGTAGAGGGCATGTGTAGTCTGATGGCCTTCTGGAGCAGGTAAGGGCACACATAACTAGGCTGGCCAGGGCTATGGACAGGGTCTCAGCCTTCCTCCTCCATTTTGGGGGAAAGGACAGGAGGGGGTTAGAGAGCACAACTGTGCCTTGGTAAGAGCTATGCTGCTCCCTGAGAGAGGCTTAGTCACAGCTTCTCAGTGTCAGTGTCAGTGTCAGTGTCCACCTCCCTTTCCTTCATGCTGGTCACAGGGGCATAGTGCCCAGGGCTCCTGACAGGTATTCCTCAGCTCCTGTAAGAGAGTGGTGCCTTCCTGACACAGACATCACCTTGTCCCCACATGGCTGCATCAACCTCTCATTATCAGTTCTCTTGTCTACAAAGACAGAACATCATGAGAAAAATTTTACCTGCTGACATCTCACATCTGGCCATGGATGTCCTAAACCTGTCAGATGTGACCTAGGCCTAGCTGTATACTATTAAATGATGTGAACAATGTGCAAAATTCCTGTATAAAACAGATGTGCCAGACTCATTCTCCTGGAGTAGCAAACCTGATTCTAAGCATTTACTAGGCTGTTAAATCGATTTACTTCTCAGTTTAGGGATTTAATAAAAAGGACAATGATTATGCACTTAAATTTTCCTCCACTGTAACTTTGGCCCATCATGAGCGCCCTGTCTCCTTCCCAGGACATAAGACCTCAGACATCCCTCCCCAAAGTGGCTAAATTAATACAGGGATGACAGATTCTAAACTGGCTGTAAAATTGGGAAGCAGGCCCTGTCATCCACACACATCTCACACACTGGCTGTCCCAGAGGGAACACCTTTTGACCCTCTGGGATAAGGTTAATTCAGGTTTCTAGTGTTTTATGTGGTCTAGGAACCTGTGATATGCCCTGGGCAGCTCACCTGAAGGAAGTGGCTGCACTGATGTGGGGGAAGTGAGCTTAAATTGAGAACACACCATGTCTAACACCTCTCTCAGGAGAGAGCCTGGGCAGGAATCTCAGTGACAGGTCAGAACCAGAGTGATCCATTCCGTGGCACTGGAATGAGAGAGAGGCTGCACCTGCACTGCCACCTGCAGGTCTATAGGGGTCTTCATCCAGGTCAGAGAAAAATGGTTCTTTATGTTGCTATCATTTTACATCAATTTATGTCAAATGTCAATTTATACAATGTGATGATTGTCCAGCAAGACAACAATGAATTGACTTCATGATTTCCTTTGGACTTGAGATGATGTTTGGGTCAATAATCTGTTTTAATATCAGTTTGACTATTCCATGAGATCAAGAGAGTGTGATCCCACATACCACCCACTCTACGTTTAAAAGTGGAAAGAAGTGCTGTCCTTTGACATGATTCAAAGGCGTCTGAAAAGCCGGCTGCTCTCCCATCACTGGCCCTCTCCATCGAGTCTGAGTAGAAATGTGCTCTGGACCCAGAAACACATGGGGAAGTGATGTCAGTTCCCTCGCTTTTATGAGAACAGTATCCCCCGCATGCAAATTTATCTTCCAGTTCAAGGGTAAATCCTCCCCTGTGCTGTGGGGGCTCACAGCTCTCACCTCACAAGGGTCTGACGTTTCAGGGAAGGCAGAGCTCTGCCCTGGAAGAAGATGCTACTGCTGGGTCTTCTCCTGTGCCTGGTGACAGCCCCCCAGGGTAAGTGTCTCAGATGTGAGACATGTGTCTATGGGATGGTGGTGACTGCATGTGACTGACAGGAACTGATGCTCCTTTTCCTAAGGTGTTCTGTCTGAAGTGCAGCTACAAGAGTCAGGCCCAGGATTTTTGAAGCCCTCGCAGACACTCTCCCTCACCTGCGCTGTCTCTGGTTACTCCATCACCAGTAGTAGCTGCTGGCACTGGATCCGTCAGCCAACAGGAAAGGGGCTGGAGTGGATCGGGCGCATATGTACTAGTGGTGACACGTACTATAGCCCAACCCTAAAGAGCCGGACCTCCATCTCCAGAGACACATCCAAGAACCAGTTTTCCCTGCGACTGAGCTCTATGACCACTGAGGACACAGCTGTGTATTACTGTGCAGGATACACAGTGAGAGGAAAGCAGGGTGAGCTCAGGCATTAACCTCCCTGTGGATAACAGGAGGGCTGGCTGCAGAGGGTGCTCAGAACACTAGGTGGCTCTCATGACAGCAGAAGTACAAGGGAAAACAATACTGACCCTGGTTAACATAGCGTGACAGCTGAGAGACTATTCCATGAGTCTCTGCTTCCTGCTTTAGCTCCTGAAACAGGTGTTTCCTGGGGAAACATCAGTTCAGTGAGACCGGAGGTTTGGATCTCGGGACTTCAGGCTTTGAACTGTGAGGATGCAGACCTATAAGCTGTAGGTCAGTGAGACCACCCTGGCCAGTCACATCAACATTAGCTAACTTTTTGGTTATGGGAGTCCAGGTGATGACCCTTTCCTGAACAAATCAGAGTCTTCTCACCACAGACATTACAACTACCAGATGCAGGGAGAAGAGAAAAACATGTTTGTGCACTTTCCTGTATTTACATTATGCATCTGGCATATCCACGGAAGGGGCTCTGTTGTGGCTTCACAGTGCCCTTGGTTGGGGCTCCCCACTGAATCACTGGTGTTTAGAATTGTTTAATATCTTTATCTTGTTTGTTTTTTTTTTAACACACCATGTTCAAGGGTAGCATCTTAATCTGGAAATGCAACCTTAAATTCTAAACTATGGGTGATGTGAGGTTTATGCCCTGCGAGCCCAGACAGGACCTGGCTCTGCAGGACATTTACGTGGCAGCAGGGGGCACATAGAACCCTTGATCTCAAGGATGCTTCCACAGGAGCAGGTGGAGTCGGAGTGGAGAGCGATTTCATCCTCTGCGAGACAGGGACCTCTATTTTTCTTAAAAAAAAAAAAAGAAAGAAAGAAAGAAAAAAAAAGAAACATAAAAAAACAAAAAACATGTAAAATAAGGGTTATGCCTGAGGTGAGTATAAATACCTCATTCTATCTGAGATATGACCGTACTCAATAAGACAAGAGAAGCACACTCAATGGGAGTAATTCTAGGGCATATGCATGTTAATGAGCTGCAACAGTGATGGTATTTTCAACTTATTAAGTGCGGCATTTTGGAGATCATGATTCTGGAATAAGACATTAGATATTAAAGCCCCAAACTGGTCCAGGGGAGGTCTCTGTTACACTCAAATGTGGTTTCTCAATGAGGAGCATGTCCTTTGGGAGCTTGTTCCTTGATGGCAGGAGCTGTATTTACACAGAGCTCAGGGAACTGAGAGGGGACTGATATCCATTAACATCGATTTTGATTCGGACCCTGAGTCTCCCACTGAACATGGTCCCTGAGCCCTCTGTCTTTTCTCAGGTGGAGTAAAATATTCAGCTATGCAGTGCTCATCCTCATAACTATGATGTGAGAGGAGGTCGAGTAGGTTATATGTGGGTTTACCTTTGCCCTGAGAACATTTCCCAAAGCCACACCCTCCCCTACATATCCTGCCAGCAATGCCTCACACCTTGAATTGAAACTGGAGAGCCCCTCTTTCTGGTGGCAGTGGCTACAGGTACAGGGATTTTTAGTTCTTAAGTGTGGGAGGGGAGCAGAGAGAGCCAAGAGGGATATCTACCAACTTCTGCATCCTCTCCACAAGTGTCTATTCGTTGGTGCACCTGGTGATGCCTGGAGCTGAGGAAAGGAATCCTGGGACCTGAATGAATCTCTCCTGAGTGGCTTCTGGGTACTCCTTCACCAGCTATGCTATATCTGATTGAGACAGGCCCCAGGAGAGGGCCTGCAATACATGGGGCAAATCAACACAATGGGAAACCCACATATATCCCAGTCTCCTAGAACAATTTGTCTTCTCCATGGACACCTCTGTCAACACAGACTACCTGCATACAAGTGGCCTGAAGTTGAGGACACAGCCATGTATTACCATTCAAGTCATGTAGTGTAATGACTCACTACCTGAGTGTGTCATACAACCTGAGAAACAAGACAGCTGGACTGGACTGAGGAGATGACAGGACAATGTGCCTCTTTGATTACTCAAACACAGTCAGGAACCAGAGACCAGGAGTGCTGCTTCCAGGGGCACAGGAATTCAGGGAATGTTTTCAAGATACCAGATAGAGTGAGAGGAAGTTTCAGGGTGATGTTTTTGAAAGTACTGTCATTATTTACTGGACTTTACATTTGGGAGTCACCTCATCCTATGAATGAAAGGGTATTCATTGAAGCATTGTCAGCGAATATTTTTGGGTGTCAGGTTTGGGGTTTGACTATAGTAACTCCCTAACAAAGTATATGACATTCTCCTCCTTCAGAACAATGCAAGTGTGCATGGGGAAAAGTAAGTACATGAACATGAAGGATGAAATACCATGCCCATGTCTCTGTCCAATCGTCCTAGAGATGGCATACTGAAAGAAAAGTTGAGGGAGGTCAGTTGGTCCATGTTCTAGCACAACCCATGACATCAAATCACACTCTCAGCCTTCCCTCAGGGTGTGATCCTAATGAGTTTACATAGCTGTGGCTTCAGCTGTGGAAGAGACCCTGTCCTTGGCCCAGAGTGATGGTAATCACACAGGGGGGAGAAGGGTATGGACAACTTTGACAATGGGAGACCCACATCCAGCCTGCTTTAGATTCCTATGACAACTGAATAAAAAACTACACACTGGGGGCTGTAACCTGCACACAATTATTCCTGTTCATTCTGTAGCTTGTATCATTAAATCCCTTCACTGGAATGAGGTCTACACGATGACAGGGATACTATTTCTCCAGAGGCTGGGGGGCAGTACTGTGCTCTCCATATGTGTGTTCCCCCAAGTATATATGTTTAGTTCTTCATCTCCAAAGAGTAAATTATTAAAAAGTGGGGCTTGTAGAGTTGCTTCAGTTGAGAGGGCCCCATTATAGAGTTTAGTGCTTTTCACAGCGAGCCAGGAGAGCTTGATGGACTTTCCACCAAAGGACAAAAGAAGTTGTTTTCTGAAATGAACAAGGAAGAGGGTTCTCATCACAAGGCACCATGTTCATGTAACCAAGTGCAGTTTTGCTGCCTACATGTTCAAAAGCCAATACTAGACAGTCCACTGCTGATATAATGGAGAGTGGTTTTATTCATGGCAGCCAGACAGGAAAATAGGAGACACTCACCTCAAAGCCCAGTAACATCTTAGTGAAGGCAGCATTTAGTATAAGAACAGAGAGTGACCGAGAGAGAGAGAGAGAGAGAGAGAGAGAGAGAGAGAGAGAGAGAGAGAGAGAGAGAATCATTAGGAGAAGTATGGATGTGCAGTCAGTGTCCATGTTGGTCCCAATATTAACCTCTACTGTCATTCAGGAATTCCTCGGTGCCAGCCAAATTTTCGCTGTCTCCAACTCTTGTCAATGCCCATGAGTCATTTATACTTTATTGTATATTAGATCCTTCTTCTTCTAACCCCGATTACCCTCCACCCTCACTCTGGTTGCTATTAGTCTGTTACTTGTTTCCTTGCCTGTGGTTCAATTTTGATCACTTATTTATTTTGCTACATTTCTTTTATATATGAGAATTAAGACAGCTGTCTTTCACTCTAAACCAGAATAAAACATTTTAATTTTAAATTACAGAACTAGTCCAGGTAGACTCTGTGTCACTCCCATGTGGGTACTCAAAAAGAAAAAAAAAAAAAAGATGGGGTCTTGTTCCTCAGAAGGAAGGGTTATGTTTGCATTGCACTCAGGGATATTGCAGGCTGCACATATCCTACAGTAGTGATTAGTACCTGCACATTCAGGTTCATTTGGATCATGGTTCCTCTTTCCTCTATCTTCTGCCAGCTATGCCTTAAGCAATGAGACTCTCTGTCTCATGAATATACAAACGAGAAGTGGTAGAATAGGTTAAATGTGAGTCTCCCTGTGCCCTGAGAGAATTACCCATAGCCACGCACTCCCAACAGTAGTTCTGAGTGCTCATCCTCTCACCATGGACTGGAGCTGGAGAGCTGTCTCTTTGGTGTTAGTGGCTACAGGTAAGGGGCTCACCACTCCTTGAGTTGAAGAGAAGACCTGGGACAGTCCAGGGGAGTTTTCATTCACTCCTCTCTTATCTCCTCAGAGGAACAGACCCAGATTGGATCTGGTGCAATCTGGGGTTGAGGTGAGCAAGCAAGGGGCCTCAGTGAAGGTCTCTTGCAAGGCTCCCTGGTGCAAGAAGGTGCAAGATACACCTTCAGGTACTGGGTGCAGTGGGTGCAACATGAACCAAGAAAAGGGCTTTAGTGGATAGGGAGGGTTAATCTTAGCAATGGGGACACAAACTCACACAGAATTTCCAGGGTAGGGTCACTGTGACCACAGAGTACACAAACGCAACATACATGGGGCTGCACAACCAGAGAGCTGACGTCACAGCTGTGAATTACTTTACTACAGGCACGGTCAGGGGAAGTCAGTGAGAGTCCAGGCACAAAGGTCCCTGCAAGAGGTGCTCTGATCACCAGGGGGCACTCGGGGTCCCTAAACACAAGGATTACCAAAGGAACAGGTGCAGATGGAGGTTTGTAGTGGTTTCCTGTCTAGTTTCTACTTCTTATAACAGTTGCTCTGAAAGAATCTCTCAGGGTTCTTCATTCTAAACTCACCTCTGAAACCCGAGTTAGACAGTTCTGTAGAAAAGACATACAACTGTCTTTCAGGGGCAAATGGCAGAGTCTGTTTCAGACACTCTTGTCCCCAATTCCAATAAATAGTCATACCTTCTAACACACATCAGTTAAATCAAACAATAGGTTCTACCGGACTCAACGGTGTGACCCTGCTCCAAACAGCTGAATGCTAGCTGGCCAGAAGGGAGATAGTTTCATGCTGGACAAGGGTCACAAGAGGTATGTGAACCCAGCACCACAGAACAAAGGCCCCTGGTGTTTTTCATATCAATTATGTTTTCACTTATTTTATTTGATTTCATACTAGTGATTTTTATCAGAATTTTCCAGTGAAATTTATGACTGAAACTTACTTCCTTCCCAATTTCTACCCACATCTTCACCTAAACAGAGTGAGTCATGACTGAATTTCTTCTGTGACCACAATATTTGAACATCGTTTCACTACATATACTAGAAAATAAAAACAAAATGAGGCAGTAACTGTCCTGCACATTCAACACCAAACTCTACTGAAGGAATATGAACCGGAAGCACTTTCAGCTTCCCTATAGAGTTCATACATTTGTCTATCTGTGATTCATACAGAAACTTCACCTCTCACAAGGGGGACACGTGTTAAGACCACATCTCTTCCTAGTTCATACTCTGATCACTCTGTAGGGTAAATGTCAGATGAATTTCTCATCTCCTCAGTACGATATCTAGCACCTTAATCATCCCTCTGTATGTGAGAGTTGAAGCCTTTTGTTGTGTTCTAACTGGTGATATTCAAATGCATTTCTCATTTTAAATCCCTCTCTTTTATGACAATTTACTCTCCTAGGTCTTTACTTGTCTGTTGTCTGTCCCAAAAACTAGGCAAGAACTCAATGCCTGCCAGGTGGCTGGATTTGGAGGACACAGAGCCCACATGTGGAACATCACCACAACTCCCACATGACTGATCCTAGAGAATCTCACCTAGAGAACCAGATAAAGAGCAGTGGTATATGAATTCTCACCTGTAAGGCCTTTCTCACTCTGTTTTACCACTAATATCCACACATGGACATGGCTGAGAATGGCTCTATGACTTATATTCATGCAGACTAGATTGATCCTTTTGGAATGACCCACATAGGTCACTGCAGACTGGGCAGACTACATCTCATGGCCCACAATGGCTTAGAATAGGTCTCAATGAGAACAGACACTCGCTGTTACCTGCACTTAACAAACCACATGGCAAGTGCTGCTGCTTAAAAGGAGTTAAAGGAATTCAAAGTAGATGTGACACCGCCATGGACAGTTGACTTATATTTTCTCATATTGAGGGATACACTTTCTTTCCATAGCATCTAATATGACCACAAAGGCACCACATCAGATGGGCTTACTGTGTTCCATATCATCTTTGCAGTCCTGGTTTGATGGGAATTGAAACAAGCTATTGGAACATATGTGGACTGTCGATGAGGAGATAAAGGCATGAGAGATGGTGCACAGAAAACAGGAGTGTGTGCTCACACTTATCATGAGGGGTTCATGGACTTTTCCACTGCACAGACTCCTCCACTGTCCTGGGGATGATGAAGTAAGCATGGAAGAGTATGCAGTTAGGACAATGCATGTCTCCCTATATCATATCATCTTCTATTTTCAGACAACATGCAGTGAGCATGAGCCAGCAGGGGTTAGAAGCAGGTTTCCCTAAGCAAGCAAGTTTCAGTGAACTATGTATTGCAACCTTTATGTCATAATTCACATGGGCCCGTTGAACTACCCTGTCTTTAACCCTTCTGGAACAGTCAAAGGGACTCTAGAAGTGTCCAGAACTAGATTACTTCACAATATGTTTGTTTGTGAACAAAAATAAATTGAAATTCCATTATTGACAGGTTAGAAAAATGGAAAAGCATGATAATCCTTCATGCTGAACTGCGATACCTGCTTTTCATTCATATGTCCCTGGTGCCATCCAATAGTTACACAGTAAACATGAGCTCTGCCCTCTTCTGCTCACACTAATAACATTTCTTGTGTTTGGCACCCTTGGGTCCCATTCCACCAGGGTGAAGAAGCTGAAACCCACAGTAAGGGATGTAACATTATTTGTGAGCTCCTCTTGAGTGGGAACTGAGAAGGACAGACCCATCCTGCAGTGGGCTGTATTGCCTCCCACTCCATGGTGCCCTCTGCCAGTGGTCATCCCAGTCCAGTAGTGAGCATTTGTATAGGTGGCGGGATGGCTCAGATAAACATGAACCACAGACCCAAGGGATGTTCTCCACCTCACACCCAGGTCCACTGAATCTTTGATTCCTGAGGTTTTTTGACCTGGATTATGTTTTCATTGGTAACAGGACAGAGAGGATTCCACCCTTAGACAAGAGTGCATGCGCCTTGAACTTATGGTGATGACTCAAGAACGATCCGGATTCTGCATGTAGTCTTTTTCAAATACTTCCACAAAGCCTTCCCATCACATATTTTGGTATTGTCAGGTATAATTGGAGACATTGTTCAAGTTGCATGACTTGTACATTATAATTAACTTCACAATTGTAAAAGACAGCCAGAATTATAAAACTTTCAACATTAAGCATTAGCATCTCCAACCCCTCTTATAATTTAGAGGCAGGTGATCTCATACAGATGAATATCAAAAATAGATAAAGCAAAGTAAATGAGAGTTCATGAAGGACTGTGATTTGTATATGATTTTATTTACAGCAAGAGTGATGTCACATTTTTTTTTTTTTTGCATTCCCTGCAACTAGAGATTGAATAGGGTCTGAGAAATGCATAGTTAGGCAATTTCAACATTGTGAACATGTCACAGTGTCATTACACACACCTGGAGGGGTCAGCCACCACTTTTATGGTATGCAGATATGGTATTTTATTATGTTTTTACATGACTGGAAGTGCAGTAGGTTGTTTTACCTGACCTTCGGCACACACATGCGTGAGAAAGTTGAGGCACTACACAATAGCAGCAACGGCACATCCAGACAATATGGGTATTGGAACTCATAGGGTATTATGAGACCACTGTTAGATACATGGTTTGTTGTTGACCACAAATTTGTATGTGTGAATTAATGTACAGGAAACTTGGCAATGGCAGATATGTTTAAGGTGATGCTTCAAATTTAAAATGATTTCTGGAGAAGAGGTTCATCTTTTTAAATAGCAACTAGAAAGTTACCTGAAACTGCAATACTGTGGCCAGTTTTTCCTTTCTTGTGAATTTACTTACTATCATAGAGACAGTCACACTCCTAGGCCTCAGTCTGTAGGAAGACCTGCATGTCCTCTGTGACAGGTATCCACCTGTCAGTCAGGAAGCTTCTCTGCACCTGAGTCTCAGGGATTATGAACCAGTATGACTGCTCTTATCCACAATCACAAGTCCATGGCATCTTTCATCAAAATGTCAAGGAAATATAGGAGGTAGTCTCCACAAGAGTGAGCTGATGGGTGACATTTGAGAAGAAATACTGAGATAATTTATTGATGGATTAAATGTAGAAAAATTAGCTCTGGCTGGTGCCACTCAGTAGATTGAATGCTGGCTCACAAACCAAAGGGTAACTGGTAAAATTCCGAGTAATGGCACTTGCCTGGATTGTGAAGCAGGTCCCCAGATGCGGGCATGAAAGGCAACCACACTTTGATACCTCTCTACTTCTCTTTCTCCCTCAGTTAACCTCTGTCTAGACATAAAAATTAAAATTATTATGCAGCTAAAATTAAAATCCTTTGTCCCAGGAGGGGATGAAAACACCAGGAAAGATTGCAGAGTATGTTTTCAAATGTTATGTCTGAAGACATTGTGTCCTGAACATAAAAACACTTTCAACCTAATGCAGGACATGTGGCCCCTCACTCATTGCCCAGACCTCCCAGGGAGGTTGGATATGGAGAGGGTTCTTTCGATGGTCACAGTGACATTCCTTCTCAGCAATTGTATAGACAGGGCCTATTTACTCTGCTGCCTCTGAACTCAGTGAATCCTTAGTACTAGAATATTAATATGTGGGTCAGCCATGACTCTACCCACATCTTCTCTTCAATGATTGGATGAGGATACACCAAAAGGAAGTATACTAGCTGTTTTATTTTTTGTCTTCTGCATAAAAAGTGCATTTCTCTCTTATGTAATTTGTGAGGGCTCTCTGCTGTAGGCCTCAGTGCCATACAGGAGAGTTACCTCAGAGAGTCTCGGACAACAGCACAAGACTCATAGAGCAAGGATCAAGGGGCTCCAACCAGCCTCTATACTTACTCATATAAAGTGGTGATAGTTGTTTGAGTTACAGATAATGATGTCTTTTTAAAAAGTCTCCCATAGGTTGGGCTCATTTTTATATTTAATTTGAAGTCTGTATATTACTGAACATAAAATATGATTACAAACTCTTCCCAATGTAGGCAGTTTAATGTTTTATGTTTAGGGAAGTGTTTGGATATAAAGTGAATCCCTTATAATATTTACAAGAAAATAGATGAGATTCAAAATCTACATTTACACGTATAATTGCTAGGTTATTTTTTTTTTTTTGACGTGTGTGCAATGTGCCTCATAACCTCAATTCCCTTCTATACCAGGTCAAGCAAGGCATATGGTAAGCAGAAGAGTTGCCAAGAGGGGAACATCACTAATTCCCTCCTCACATATTAGAACAGAATTCCCCACATGCAAATATATCTGCAAGCTCTAGTGTAAATCCTTCCCTGGGCTGCATGGTCTCACCACTCACTAATCACACAAGGCAGAGGTCTCTGGTAAAGATAGAGCTGTGATCTAGAAGATGAGACTGCTGGGTCTCTTCCTGAGCCTTGTGACAACTCCACGGGGTGTCTCAAATGTCAGACATGGGTCTCTGGGATGGTGGTGACTGCACATGACTGGCAGGGACTAATATTCTTTGCTCTCAGGGGTCTACTGTGAGTTGAAGTTCCAGGAGTCAGGCCCAGAAATGGTGAAACCCTCACAGACATTCTCTCTCACCTGCAGTGTGTCTGCTGGCTTAATTCCCAGCAGTTTCTCCTGGCACTGGGACCTCCAGCCTCCAGGAAAGGCATAGGAGTGAATAGGGCTGTAGTCAGGGAGAACAAGGTACAATCCTGCTTCCAAGACCACATCTCCATCACTGCTGACATGTCCAGAAACCAGCTCTCCCTGCATCTTAACTGCATGCCAACCAAGGGCATGGCTTAGTATTTCTGTGTGAGAGACATAGTGATGGAAATCAGGGTGAGCCCACACAAAATCCTTCTGATGGGACACAGAAAGGTTTTACTGTAGGGAGCACACTGGAGACCAGAGGTAATCCAGAGCCCAGGGTTCAGTGCATAAAATCTAGGAGGAGGTGAAGGTGAAGGCTCCCCCTGAGTTTCTGGTGTAGTCTGATGTTTCTTCTTCTAACATATGCTCCAGTGTCTTCTCCAGAGTTGGGAATGAGGCACCAACAGGACAGAAAGCACAGCAGCCAGTGGAAGCTCCCAGGGATCACCTTCCATCAGCTAGCAGAGCCATGGTCAATTCAGATGGAGAAGAAAGCCTGGATGAAGGTGAAGTTATTGTCCAGTACCCTGAGCTCAGCAATGATTCTGTGGCCCCCGTGCAAATCTGGAGGCTCTCACCCCAAAAGTAGCTTCAGATGTTGATGCCCATGATATCTACAGCTAAAGAACCAGACAGAGTTCCTTCTGACATGATCAAGGTTTCAGGAGGGCCCAGAAGGCCTCTCCTACAGAGGCGAAGCTACTTCTGGGAGTCAGTCCAGGACCCTGGGATAGGGTATTTGTGGAAGCAGGTGAGTGTTCTCATGTTGGGCAGGGACTTGGGTAGACTGACTGTCCCACAAGAGGCAAAGAGGTGATTGTTGGGACGTTCTTATCAGTGTCTCACATGAGGGAAGATGGAGATACATGAGGATATAACTTGAAAGCTCTCAGATGTGCAGTATCAAACCCTGGGTTCAGACACTTGATTCCACCAAACTATCGTAATAATAAAAGAATGGGAGACAGTCATGCACTGTGGTGTGCAGCTATACTGGGATTATGAGCAAACAGGTAAGAACAGATCAGGAATTCCATAGGGGTTTTAGTGAGACAACATGACTTGTAACTTCCACTCTCTGACATTTTACTCATTATACTAGAGGTGATGGGTCAGCTGGCTCATTCCAAGGATTCAGCTTCTGAAGGATCTGAGAGATCTTATCTAGACTTCCTGCTCTTGGAGCTGTCCAGGGGTGTGGAGTTCACATTGTCTGGCTTAGCCGTTGGTGTGAACAGAGTGACTCCTCTGGAGTCCTACTGTGGCCCTAGTTGGTAAAACATAAGCTATGTTATCATTCTTGTGGCTCATCAGTCATTTCCCCCAAATCCTCATTCAGCAGATAAAACTTTGGTTGTAGACCTTGAAGATGCTATTGAGGATGATATAAGGGAAGGTCGTCTGACTTTGTTGAGAGGCTGGGATACATGGGTCACATAGTGGTTAATTTAAAGGTCCACACTACTGGCAACGGATTCCCCCATATGCATTCAAACATTATCTGGGTTTTTCCATAAATGTGTTTAAATCAGTAGACAGGTTGAGACAGATCGTCCTCCTTAATGTAAGGAGATCCCTACCTGACCATTTATGGCCTGCAGGGGACTAATGTGAACTTCCTACCCAATGGCCTTGGAACTGGAGCATCCACATGATCTTTACTGTTGCTGCCAGCACCCAGGGCACGTGGTTTCCTCCTGCCTCTCAGGCCTGATTCCTTCTACTGAAACTAAGCTGGAGAGTCCTCTGTGACCCTCACATCACCTTCACTCCATGAATTCCACTCAATCTTCTTTATGTCATATTCTCTCATTTCCTCAGAGATACAGTGCAGTGTTTGGATGTGTGTCCCTGTCCCAGAAACACCAGGCTGATGCACATGTGACCTGGAAGTGGACCCAGTGCCCGTCAGAACCAGGGCCCCATCAACCCTGTCCCATCACACAGGTCTTGCTTTCATGGCACCCTTTCTACTTATCTTACTGTTTCCAGGAAATATGGGGTAGCTTTACAGGGGACCACGGTCTCAGTATGGAAATTTTTATTGTTTCTCCTAACTCTGCATGGCCTATGGCCCAGGGATACTCCTGACCATTTCATGCGATCACATTTTGTTTCCTTTCACCTGAGTTTGTTGTCTCCTTTCCCTGTGCCACTGTCCCTCTTTCCTGATCAGGAAAACAGCAAGGACACCTGTTTACAAGCAACTGAATTATTGTGAAAATAAAGAGACAGATAAAAAAACTCATAAACTGGATGTGTTCTGTCCTCATCAAAAATTTTCTTCCCTTTAAAAAGAAGTCAAAGCGTACAGGTGCAAGACATGGATAAACATTGGGGACAAAATGCACAGAGATATGCACCACACTAAGATCCACAGCAGCTGTTTGCATGTAGGTGTGTGAAAGATGGAGGGTCAAGGGCATGGATACAGAACCCAGTAGTGGTGCTTGGGTTGGGGGAACAGTAATGAGATGTTGTTAATTAATGGACACTGAGTCAGTTTGGGAAAGTGAGAGTCTCTGCAATGGGATGATTATGGTGTTTTCATAACAGTGAGAATGTATGAACATTGCTCTGTGCTTTTAAAATTGATTAGCCTCGTGCATGTTTGTTAGTGTATGTTTTACCACAAACATCACACCAGCACTAATTGGAGGTGTGCCCACTTTTTCCAGGAGTAGTGGTGCCTCCTGATCCTGCAGCATTGGGATGGAGTCAGGATTGCAGTTTCGGGCTGAAATAGAAGGTCATTCTAGTGAGCTTCTGTTGGCATGGGAGTAAGACAATTAGAAATGATGTGACTCCCCCATAAGTGTGTTTCTAGGGAAATAGAGCCTGGGAAGGTGGTGAGCCTGGATCATGATTCTAGGCCACAGAGGTTCTAGGTTGAGAGCAGTGTGTGAAGTGGATGTGTGGGGACAACACAGTGGGTGATTCATGTCCTGAGAGGGTGCAGGGCATTACAAGGTCATGGGCATTTCTTCAAGGAAGAGGTAATGTAAGTGCCATGTCATTAGAGCCCAACACTGCCTGACTCACAGTGTTACCAGGGTACCAGGTGAGCACACATGACTGTCCACGCCACTCACCATATACAGGACCGTGCTCACCATATTGGATACTGTCTTTTCAGGATACAGTTTGTCTCCTTGAATTTCCACTTTCCCGTGTCCCTCAGGCAGGTACAAATATTCCCCTCTGCTCTCACCTGGCATGGAAATGATAAAAATGTCAGGACTTTCAACAGCTCTCCTTATCTGGGTTTCACAGTTTGTAAAGCTCCTTGAAATCTGAGACAGAGAGGAAATTTGGACTCAGGTGCACACCTGAAATGTGTTTCTGGTCAGCGTTGCAGGGGCAGGCAATGGATGGAAGGTATGAATAGCCTCATGGCCCTCTAGTCTCATCACCTCAAGAGCAGGTAATAACCCACATCACTGGGGAGGCCAGGGCTATTGACAGGGCCTCAGCCCTCCTCCTTCATGTTGGGGGAAAGGACAGGAGTGAATTAGAGAGCACAGGTGTCCATTGGGAACAGTTATGCTGCCCGCTGAAGCAGGCTTAGTGACAGCTTCTGTGCTTCAGGGTCCACCTCCCTTTTCTTCATGCTGGTCACAGTGGCCTCATGTCCAGGGCTCCTGAAAGGTATTGTACAGAACCTGTAGGAGGGTGGTACCTTACTGGCATAGATGTCACCTTGTCCCCATGTAATTTCACCAATCCCTCACTCTCAGCTGTCTTGTCTACAACGGGGGGACATCCCGAGACAATTTTTACCTGCGAAATCTCATATCCAGTCCATGGATGTCACCACACAGTCAGAAGTGCCCCAGGCCTCACTGCACACTGTTAAATGGTGGGGACTACAGTGGGAATTTTCTATTTATGGGTGTTGTGCCAGACTCACACACCCCTGGTTTAAACATTTTCTAGGCTGTTAAATCATATCATCTACTTTCACTCAGATTAGTGATTTAATAAAAGGTACAAGGATTATGCACTTAGGTTCCTCTACACAGAAGCCTTGGTCCATCATGAGCTCCCAGTCTTCTTTCCAGGATATAAGGCCCCAGATATTTTTCCCCCACAGGATCTCAGGTAAATACAAAGAGTGCAGATTCCAACCTGACTGTATAACTGAGAAGCAGGTCCTGTCTTCCACACACATCTCAGATACCTACTGTCCCAGAGTGAGTGTCTTTTGTCCCTTTGGAAGAAAGTGAATCCGGGTTTCCAGTGATCCATGTGTGCTAGGAAAACATGAGATTTCCTGTAGAGCTCACCTATAGGAAGGGGTTGCACTGCTTTGGGGGAAATGAGCTTAAAGTGAAAAAAAATTATGTTTAACACATCTCTCCATGCAAAGCCTGGGCTGGACTCTCAGTGGCAGGTCCTTTTCATCATGACCCATTCCCTGGAGCTGGATGGAGACAGAGGCTGCAACTTCAGGTTCAATGGGGTTAATTAAGGTCAAGGGAAAGATGGTTCTTTATGTTGCTATTATTTTTACATCAAAATTTATATCAAATATTATATAAAATTAGGATTATCCAATATGGCAACAATAAGTTAACTTCATTATCTTTTGTAGACTTGAGAAGATGATTGGACAAGTTCTTAATCTTGGATATTCCATGAGATTAAAGCAGCAGAATATATCATCCAGTCCAGCTTTACTTTAGAAAGTGGACAGAAGGACTATGCATTGACGTGATTCAAAGAGATCTATAATCATCATGCTCTCCCATCACTGACCCTCTTTATTGAGTCCAGTGAAAAATGTCCTCAGGACCCAGAGGCACATGGGTAAGTGATGTCAGTTTCCCCACTTTTATGAGAACAGCATCCCCCACATGCAAATTTATCTCCTTGTTCAAGTGTAAATATTCCCCTGGGCTCTGGGGCTCACAGCTCTGTCATCACAAGGGGCTGACATTTCAGGGAAGGCAGAGCTCATTCTAAAAGATGATTCTGCTGGGTCTTCTCCTGTGCCTGCTGATAACCCCCCATGGTGAGTGTCTCAGATGTCATACATGTGTCTATTGAATGGTGGTGACTGTACATGACTGACAAGAAATGATGTTCTTTGCCCCCAGGTGTTCTGTCCCAGGTGCAGCTTCAGGAGTCAGGCCCAGGACTGGTGAAGCCCTCACAGACCCTCTCCCTCACCTGCACTGTCTCTGGATTCTCCATCACCAGTGTCAGCTGCTGGAACTGGATCCGCCAGCCCCCAGAGAAGGGGCTGGAATGGATCGGGCGTATATGTTATAATGGGGATATTTACTATAGCCTTAACCTCAAGAACCGCGCCTCCATCACCAGAGACACATCCAAGAACCAGTTCTCCCTGCAGTTGAGCTCCGTGGCCATGGAAGACACAGCTGTATATTATTGTGCAAGAGACACAGTGAGAGGAAGTCAGGGTGAGCTCAGACACAAACCCTGTGGGGAAGAGGAGGGCTGGGTTGCAGGGGGTGCTCAGTACAACTAGGGGCTTTCAGTACAGCAGTCAGTGCAGGGGAAAACAACAGTGACCCAGTAACATAACCTGATAGTCCAGGGCCAGTTTTCTGAACCCGCTGTTTCTGTATCAACCCATGCTTGTGCTCCTGGGGAAACTCTAGTTCAGTGACACCCAAGGCCTGGCCCTCCAGGCTCCTGGCAGTGAACTCTGAGAATGCAAAACTGTGGGCTGTAGGTCAGTGAGACCACCCTTACCAGTCAGGTCAGAGTTAGTTAATTAATTGGGTGAAGGAATCCTTGTACTGACTCCTCACCTCAAACAAATCAAGGCGTTCTCACCAAGGACATAGCAGATACAAGGTACTGGGAGAACAGGAAAACACCAATTGGGCCACTCTCATGTTTTTACATCAATTACGTTTGCTTCTGTTCTGTCATCAAAGAAGCTCAGTCACTTAGTTTGCATGTGAGTGGGCATCCTGCCCATGTACTGGGGCCAGGGGAGAGGAGAGGCTTGGGGTTATTACCATGAACATCATCAGTGTGAGTGCATGTGTTACTGTTTCTTATTGAGCAGTAGGTGTGCACTGTCATTAGGGTCACATGCAGGGACATTCACATGGGACATTCAAGCAGAGGAAACTGAACACATGACATCCACAACACTCCCAAGATCTTCTGGGCTCAGGGGTATCAGTGGGGTCATTGCATCTGCAGGTCAAGGGAAGGGGCCCTCTGGTGGCTTCGCAGTGCCCTGGGTTGGGGTTCCCTGCTGCTTGGGTTTAGAAAATCCAAATATCTGTATCCTGAGACATTTAAACACATGGTTTCCTGGAGGGAGTATCCTAAACTTAGAATGTATTTTTTAATTTTAGATTAAAATGCTGGCAGGTTACACCCTGTGAGCCCAGACAGGAACTTGCCTTGAAGGGCATGGACTTGGAAGTAAAGGGCACATGGCACCCTTGAACTCAAGGTGCTGCCCCAGGAGCAGGTGGAGTAGGGGCTGGGGAGCGATTTCTTCCTCTGAGGCCCTGGGTCTTCCTGTTTTCAAAAAAAAAAAAAAAACTTCTAAAATAAGATTTAGGCATGAGGGGGACTCTAAATACCCCAATCTATCAGAGATATGACCATACTTGATAAGAAAAGAGAACTATAGTCAATAGGAGGGATTCTAGGGTGTATGCATATATGAATGTTAAGGAGCTGGCAACAAGGATGGTACTTTTAGTGCATTCAGCGCTGTGTTTTGGAAAATGTGATTCAGGAATAAGACATTAGGCATTAAAGCACAGAACTGGTCCAGGCAACCTCTGTTACACTCTAATATGGTTGCCCAATGAGGAACATGTACTATGGGGGCTTGTTCCTCTGAGGGAGGGGCTATGTGTGCAGAGTTCAGAGACCTCACAGGGGACTGATATCCAATAGCATTGATTTGGACTTGGACCCTTAGTCTCCCACTGAACATGGTCCCTGCACCCTCTACCCTCTCTTGAGTGGAGTAAAACATTCAGCTATGAAGTGCTCTGCCTCATGATGATGAAATAAGAGGAGGCTGACAGGTTATATGTTAATCTGTCTGTGACCTGGGTACATTTATCACAATCACACCCTCTCTTACAGAAGTCCTGCCAGAAAGCCTCTTGCCATGATTTTGAGCAGAAGAGGTCTCTTCCTGGAAACTGTGGCAACAGGTATGTGGTACCTTATTTCATGGGTCTGGGAGGGGACCAGGGGGAATCAGGAGAGATAACCACCCATTCCTGCCTTCTCTCCACAGGTGCCTAATCATAGATGTACCTCATGCAGTCTGGAGCTACAGGGAGGAATCCTGGGCCCTCAGTGAAGATCTCCTCCAAGGCTCCTGATTATTCCTTCAACACCTACATTATGCCCTGGGTGAGACAGGCCCCAGGTGAGGGCCTACAATACATGGTCTAGATCAACACAAACAATGGGAAACCCACATATGTGAAGGGATACTCAGAAGAGTTTGTCTTCTCCATGGACACCTCTGTCAGCATAGCCTATCTGCATATAAATTGCCTGAAGTTGAGGACACAGCCATGTATTTCTATAAAAATGACACAGTGTGATGGTCCAAAAGCTGTGTGTGTGACACATCCTGAGAAGTGGGACAGCTGGGCTGGATGGAGGAGATGGCAGGGCAATGTGTCACCTTGATTGCTCAAACAGAGTCAGGATCCAGAGACCAGGAGTGCTGCTGCCTAGGGAACCACAGGAACTCAGGGAAAAATTTAAAGTGACCAGATGCAGTGTGAGGAATACTCAGAGAAAATGCTTTGAATGAACCCTTGTTATTTATTGTGGTTTGTGAAAGGGTCACATTTGGGAGCCACCATGTCCTATGAATGAAAGGATGTTCATTGAAGCATCATCTGGTAACCTTTGTCGATTTGGACTGTAGTGACTCCACAGCATGTTATATGACATTCCCCTGTTTCTGAATAATGCAGGTGTGCATGAGGAAGAGTAACAACATGAACATCAAGGATGAAATTCTATGTACATGCTTCTGGTCAATCATAACTGAGATGGCACACTGGCAGCAAAGTTGAGGGAGGTTAGTTGGTCCCGCTTCTATCACAGTCAATGACATATGAGCATATCCTCAGCCCTCCCTTAAGGTGACATCCTAATGATGTTACACAACTGTGACTACAGCTCTGTGAGAGCTCCTCTCCCTGTCCAGTACTTATGGTCATCACACAAAAGGGAAAAGGGTAAGGACACCCTTGACTATGGATGGCCCACATCTAGCCTGCTTCACATTCCTATGATGACTGAATCAAAAACTACATACCTGGGGCTGTAATCTGCACATAATTATCCTGCTCTGTCTGCAGGTCATATCATTAAATCCATTCACTGGACTGAGGTCTAGGTGGTGACCAGACTCCCGTTTCTTCAGAGGCTCTGGGGAAGTACTGCGGTCTGCATTTTGTTATTCCCCACGTTTTATGTTTAATCCCTCATCCCACCAAAAATATTATTAAAAAGTGGGGCTTAGGGACCTCCTTAGGTTGAGAGTGTACCATTAAAGGTGTTAGTGCTTTTCTCAATTAGCCAGGAGATCTTGATGGACTTTCCACCAAAAGACTAAAGAAGTTGTTTTCTGACGTGAACAAGGGAGAGTGTGCTCATCACAAGGCACAATGCTCACGTAACCAAATATAGTTTTGCTGACCACCTGTTCAAAAGCCAATACTAGAGAGTCCACTGCTGATGTAATGGGGAGTTGTTTTATTCAGATGCATACAAACAGTAAGATAGGAGACCCTCACATATGAGCCAGTAATATCTCAGTGAAGGCATCATTTAGTATAAGAATCGAGAGTAACTAAAAGAACTGAGACCATTGGGAGAGGAATGGACATGCAGCCAGCGTCCTTACTGGTCCCCATATGAACCTCTACTGTCATCATCAGGAACTCATTGGTTGCAAACAAGTTGGTGCTGTTGGGGTATCTGTGTTACCAAAACTGTGCCAAATCCTTTTTCTTGTACAAATATGACTAAAAGTTGTAGTACTTGCAATATGATTACTAAAAAACTGTCAGTGAGTTAGTTTGTAATACTGTGGTTATACATATTATTCTAATTCTATTTCATAATAAGTTATAACAGTATAAAGTTTTTATCTGTGTTACAATTCCCCACTGTCAAGTCTTCCTTCATACCTATGGAGATACTGACAGCCTCTGATCTTCTGGAGGAATGAAGAACCTGAACCTGCTGTTCAAAATCTTGTGAATTAAAGTAGATATATATTTTAGAGGCCTATAGAGAGTAGAGTCTATTTATCATTCACAGGAAAATCGAACCATAAAGAGCTTTGAAGTTATAAAGACAGGCATTGCAAAGAAAAGTGTGGTGAAACCTATATTAAAAAGTCCTTCTCTTATGGACATGGGCGCCTGTGCTATCATGAAAATAGAGTCATAAACCAATCTCCAGTTCCTTCAAACAAAGAGATGTGATAGCAAGATGTTTTTGAACTTGGAATTTGTGAATGTACTAGAGTGTTGGCATTCAGAAACTATCTGGGAAAAAGCAAATGAGCCTTTTGTTACACTGTAAATGTATTTATATTTTTTCTGAAATAGTATTGTTTTTATGTTTTTATTTCATTTTTATTGTGCTATTACAGTTGTCCCAAAGTTCCCCTGTTGTTCTCCCATGCCCTTCCCACAACCGACTCCCGTTGTCAATCTAACCCTGTTGTGGATGTCCATGAATCATTTATACTTTATTGTTATTAGACTCTCTCTCTTCTCTCACCCATTGTCATTCTCCCCTACCTCTGACTTATGTTAATCTGTTTCTTGTTCCTTTGCCTCTGGTTTCATTGTGTTTATTTATTTATTTATTTATTTATTTATTTTTGTTAATTAGGTTCCTCTTATGCATGAGAGTTATGGTAGTTGTCTTTCACTCTGAACCAGAATAAAACTTTTTCATTTTAAAGTGCAGAACTAGTCCAGGTAAACTCTGTGTCACTCACCTGTGGGTTCTCACAGAGGAACAGAGGTGGGATCTTGTTCCTCAGAAAGAAGAGTTTTGTCTGGATAGAGCTCAAGAAAATAACATGTTATACATATTCTATGACAGTGTAGTATTGAGGTTCCCTCGGATCATGTTTCTTCTTTTTTCTACCTTCTTTCAGCCATGTCTTCAGCTATGAAACTCTCTGACCCATGAATAAACAAATGAGAGGAGGTCGACTAGGTTATATAGGAGTCTCTTTGTGCCCACAGAGCATCATCCCAAGCAATATTTTCACCCAGCAAAGCCCTGAGTGCACAGCCCCTCACCATGGACTGGAGATGGAGAACCATCTTCCTGGTGTTAGTAGATACTGGTAAGGACCTCCCCAGTCCTTGGGTTGAAGAGGGGAGGAGAAACAGTATGGGGAAACTTAGTTTTTAGATTTTTATTATATTTTTTAAATTTATAAATCATGTTTATTCTATTACATTTGTCTCAATTTTTACCCTTTTACCT